GAAAATTGAGAGAAGTATTTCATCTCGATTTACCGATTTCTCTGAATGTATTAAGAAGCGTCTCATCCCCTTCTCCACGAGAAGCATCCCAATGGGGATGCCATCTTCTGACCGGACAAGGCAAGCGCCCACTATGCCGACACCGTTACGCAGCATCTTCAATCCACGGGAATGAAGAAAAAAGACGATCCCAATGATCTCCCACAGGCAAGACCGGTTGAGCGCTACTGGGCAGAAATGGACCGACGGCTTGGCCTCTTCAAAACCCCTGCTGAAAGTCTGGATGAATTATCTCGCCGAATGAAGAAAGTGGTGGACATTCCCGAAAGCTACGTAGAGTTTATGCGTGCTGTGCGAACCAAACTGCGCCGCATCGGTGACTGGTGTGTATTCAGTTGAATGAAGTGGGTGTTCCATTGAGCAGTGTTTGTATTCTTATCATACTCGCCTTTATTTTTCTTCCATGTGTAGAGAACTGAGGCCGGTTAAATATCGGTGCGGATACATAATGGCAGTCCCTTATTAGTGAATGACGTCAGCGCAACGCCCGCGACGACTTTCTTGGTCCTGTTTCACTGGCAGGTGCAGCAGAAATTGACCCTCCAAAACAATAGAACCTAAAACCTACCTTCAACTCCATCCTAAGCCTCATCCACTCCATCCTCAATCTCATCCACTCCATCCTCAATCTCATATACATGGCGAGCATCAGCCTCATTCTCCTACGGACATGACAAGAATGCCTAGTGACTCCCATCGGTAGTCTTATGACTCTCCAAGGCGAAATGACTCCAAAGCTTGAGAACCGCGTTGAAATACTTTCTTCTTCGTCGGAGTGATTCTTATTGCAGTTCAGCACCCCGTCATTACGATGAATTCAATTTCCGCTGGCTTTGATCGCTTAATTGAGTTGGTTTTCTGAGGAACCCGGAAGACGGGGGAATTCGGGGGAATTTTCCGTGTCTTAGCAATCGCAATTGAATCTTTCAAGCGCCGAATCTGCCATTGAAAATGTGCAGTGAAAATTCTGCGACTTGACGCGGCGAAGTGAATTAGAGGCGCGTCATCAAAGCTTTCGTGATTTTACTCTCCTCGTTATATTAGCATCTTAATTAGATATGAAACAGCTGAGCTGAAAATAAAATTGCAACAACTCAAGTCTGAAAAAAAAATTATTTTCTATAACCTAGCGAGAGAATCACAAACCGTGCAAAAAAAAATTTGCGACTCACGGAGGACTTTGAGCAGGACAAGGAAGGACCGCTTGGGCTCGGTGGAGATCTGGCATTCATATTCCCCGGAGTCCTCAGGGCGAACATCCTGGATCTGCAGGGTCCACATGTGGTCCCTGGGAAAGTGGTACACTCGGAACCGGGGATCTTGGATGAAGCTCGATTCCCCGACGGAGATGATGTGCGCATCCTTTCGCCTCACCCACGACACCTGTCACGGGAGTCCTCAATATTTTTTTTCTCTCCTACGGGAGTCCTCAATATTTTTTTTTCTCTGACGGGAGTCATCAGGATTTTTTTTGTGCCTGCTCTCAAAGAGGCTCTTTCTTGGAAGTTTATTTTTATCACCATGGAATGATATTTTTCCGTCTTTCATTTCTTCACGCAGTTCATTTATTCACGTGTTACTATTTGGAATCTGACCCACGTTATAAAGCGAATATGGGAAATTTAGAATGTAAAAAATTATTTATAGGATTGTAAAAAAATTCTCCAGTCCATATGCAGGATACTTTTAGCACGCCGCTGATAACGCAGGCTTCTCGTGGCATCGAAGAGAGAGAAAAAGCAGGAAAACAGAATCGCGCTGCGACATAAGAAAAAATGTTGGGAGCATTGCAGAGACCAGCGAGACAAAGATGACAAAATCGGTCGCGACCCCGTCGCACCTGGACCCCTTCCCGCCCCCACCCCGCCCCCCAAGCCCCCCAGCCCCCCATCTAACCTTGATCCAGTCTCGCAATCGCAGCGCAGACACGCGATGCGTGCCAGCACTCCCCGATAACAGATTTTTTTTCCCTCCCCGATATCATTACTTTTTTTTCCTGAAAACATCCGCAAAAAAATGGCAAGAGCGGACGCCTACCGATTTGTTGTCCAGCTGGTGGACCCGACAAGAGAGATAAGCATGGCTCCCCTTCCTGGCCCTCACAATCTTGGTGAGCGAATTGTCGAAGTACGGCCCTGGATACAGACCTGCTCCCTGGTGCAGATCCTCCTCCACCTGCTTCCCACCCGATTCTGCAAAGAGGTCAAATGAGGTCAAATATATATTCTGTTACATCAATATTACTATCAAGACAAACTTTCTCGTATTACAAAACTTCTCATATTATATATATATAAATATATAAATAAATCCTTCCACGGCACCTGCCGGTATTGGAGATATGAGGGGGGATGAACCACATCCCAGACCTCATACTCGTCTTAATTCTGAAGGACACGGCGAAGGATGCTGGCCGTGCCCAAGATTGCTGTACGCTGGAGGATATCCAGTGATATTTCACACTCCAGCTTNATATATATATATATATATATATATATATATATAATACTTTTTCTCTGTACAAAATAGAGACGGCATCAATAGGGTATATGATATTGATATATATGATATTGCTTAAGGTTTACAGGTTTCTGTCAGGTATTGACATGAGAGAAACCTGTAAACCTTAAGCATCATATATAAACCAGTAAACTAACCACAAACTCGCGAAATAAAGTCTCTCGAGGTTCAGCCCTGCACAAAGAATTGTATTAATTAAAGGCTCCCAACGAAAGGCGACGTCGAAGGAGAACCAAGCTAGACGGTCACGTGACCAGACGGCCGGTCACGTGACCAGACGGCCGGTCACGTGACCAGACGGCCGGTCACGTGACCAGACCGCGGAGTCCTTCACCCGCGAATGCCCTGGAATCCGCGGAAATCCGCGGAAATCGCGGCGGGACTCCGAGAGCGCACTTATCGGGTTAAAAATAACCCAAGGGTGTGAATGTGTGGGCCTAACTACAGCTTATAACCCTGCGTTTATCGCTTAGAGCCCTGCATTTACTCTCGAGTGGGAACCTGTCAACGCGCTCGACCATAAGCACGTCTGCGATAAGCACGCCTGTGATAAGCACGCCTGCAATTAGCAAACATCAATAGATCCCATCGCTCCGAATTTCCGTTGTCATCACGAAACTCGTTCCATCATGTCGATTGACTTTCCACGCCAAATGACTTCCCATGTCAAATGACGTCATCTCATTCACCTGGAGTGCAATTTCCAGAGAATCGTGAGCGTGGGAGTGACTCATTCATTCTTACTGCACGGAAAACGCGTCTATATTTGGTCGTCCGGTGATGATTTATTCGGTGTTCACGTCTTGTCCTTGCCCATTACGTCTACTGTGTTCTGACGCAACGGAAAAACCAATTTTGTAGGAAACATATGCGGAGGCGGCACGTGGTAGCCGTAAACACTGAATAAAATATGATTTGGTGATGAAAATAGACGCAGCGATATTGCATGAATGCAAGAACGGGGAAACTTTGCCTGGAAGATCTTTGATCCCATGCCTGGAAACCAAGCCTGGAAACCAAGCCTGGAAACCAGGCCGGGAAACCAAGCCTGGATACCAAGCCTGGATATCTCTAGCGTTGCAGTTAACGACAGGGCTCTGAGCATCAGGGGAGACATCTCGCGGTCGAATTTAAAAACAGGCGAGGAAGACCAGCGTTATTTCCCATGGGGGAAATGCAAATGCAAATCTCTCCGCAAAACGAATTTGCATCGCGATGAGTCCCATCAAACTCGATTTCTTCAAGTTCACACTCGGGAAGCAGCAGATTAAGCGAAAGCAGCGGATTAAGCGAAAGCGGCGGGATTAAGCGAAAGCGGCGAATCGAGCGAAAGCGGTGTCGCATGACAGAACCGACTGCGATTTTTTCCCCCAGATCAAACAGCAAATAAGAGGACGGGTTTCTGCACAAGACAGGGACAAATGAAGCCAGAGCTCGGACGGACAAGAAAGAGGAGGAAAAACGATTTTCTCAAGAGAGAGAGAGAGAGAGAGAGGCTGGCCCATCTCAGATTGATTCCTTCTTCTTTTTTGTTCCCTTCTTCATAAACCCTGCGAAGAAATCCGTCTTTGATGGATCCGCACGTGCCTGGAACGATCAGCCAGGCCGATGCGAAAATTGAAAACGGTACCAGGAATTGATTTGGCTCCCTTATTTGCTATTCCATTACGTGGGAATATTGCCAAGCCCATTTGCGTATGTTCCCTAAGCACCCAACCATCATCGAAAGCGGATTTTCTCGTTAAACCAAAAATGCCAACAGGCCCGAAATACCAGCCAAATACCAACGAGCGAAAAAATACCAACCAACAAAAAATACCAACCATAAAAAAATTCTAACCATAAAAAAATTCTAACCTAAAAAATATTCTCAAGCAGCAAATACGACTATCAGCGAGAAACATTTTCCCTCCAGTCGGTCGCCAAATCGAAACAACCTTGACCTCAACTTCGTGTCAAGGCGAGTGAATGATGGATCCTGCATCCCACAGGATCCATCATTCGCTCCAGAATTCGCAAGAAAGGAAAGGGCTCCCCTTTCTTCCCCGATCCAGTGCCATCATCGGAAGGCCCTTTAAATCATGCAATCAGCGAGTCGAGATCATTTCTGCCGAGGTCCCGTGGCATCATTCCCTTTAATCCGGTGGCATCGTCCCATTTCATCCATAGGCATCGTCCCATTTCATCCGTCAGTATCGTTTTCAAACTTCCAAGTATGAGAGATTGGTTTTCTTCCCTAAAAAGTTTCGTGTGGCTCAAGGAGTATTTTCCACCGCCTCCAGCATTTCAGGCATTCCTGACTCGATTAGCATCATAATTATCATACTTTCGCTGTGGGACGAACTGAATGGCCTACAATGGAATNAAGGAAAGGGCTCCCCTTTCTTCCCCGATCCAGTGCCATCATCGGAAGGCCCTTTAAATCATGCAATCAGCGAGTCGAGATCATTTCTGCCGAGGTCCCGTGGCATCATTCCCTTTAATCCGGTGGCATCGTCCCATTTCATCCATAGGCATCGTCCCATTTCATCCGTCAGTATCGTTTTCAAACTTCCAAGTATGAGAGATTGGTTTTCTTCCCTAAAAAGTTTCGTGTGGCTTTGGAGGACTTTGACACCTGCCCTTTAAAAATGCAAACTGCGGGATTTGCGCCAATTTCCTGCCGAATCCCTAACCGCGGGGGGGGGGGGGGGGGGGGGGGGGAAAGGAATATGCAAATTCGACGACGGCTGAATTATTCATTGCATACATTTTCATGGTTTTGGCAGGCGTTTCCCCTTGTATTCCGGATGCCCCTTGCAGATTCCTTCCTGTCTGATTCCATTGTAGATTCCATTGTAGATTCCATTGTAGGCCATTCAGTTCGTCCCACAGCGAAAGTATGATAATTATGATGCTAATCGAGTCAGGAATGCCTGAAATGCTGGAGGCGGTGGAAAATACTCCTTGAGAGTAAGAAGTTGTCTTTGAAAACTGATGAGATAATAACGATATTACTTTCCGAACAACCTTATAATTGTCTTGACTTCCTTGTACCCAATATAATTGTCTTGACATCCTGTGTACCCAAGAAATAAAAATGTCTTCATCCTTATAGCCGTCCCAGACAAAGTCAATCCCCGGTTCCCCTATTTTTTCCACCTTCCTCCCGCCTTCTTCCCCGCCTTTGGAGCCTATCCTTCATCGTAGGGGAATGAATTGCCCAGGGTCGAGAGCCAATTTCCTCGGATAAATCACCTTCAGAAGTCCTTCGATCACGGGCTCCCTCTTTGCTCTGTGATATTGGAACGCCCACGGAGCGAGGTCGCACTGAAACGTTCTAGACATCGCGGCATCTTTCTGGACGAGCAATCATTCATTAAAATTTCATTCATGAAATTTTCAAGGAACAATAATTCATGCATATCGAAGAAGCAACAATTCATCTTTTCCGGAGTGATCACATATTCACTGGAGTAATAATTCATAATTTTCAAGGAGTAACGATTAACATACCGGGTGGCGCAAAAAGAAACGCGTCGTGTTTGACGTCTTATAAAATCCGTTGTGGATGATCTAGGTTTGTGATATTTTCATATTACAATGGAAACGCCACAAAATTTGTTTCCTGAAAGTTTCATGTACCTAACTTGTCTGAATAAATATCGACAGTCGCACGAGGATGGAGTTTCAGGACTGCTCGAATGATTTCTCTCCCTTGACGTTATGAAAAGCGCTTTTTACGCCAGTTCTCATCGTAGCATTCTGCGTGGTATCGATTCTGATACTACGATGTACGACAGTAGTACTATTTTACGATGCGTTGAATACTACGATGAGAACTGGCATAAAAAGCGGTATTTATGACGTTAAGGTAGAGAAATCATTCGAGCGCGGAAAGGTCCATTTTATGACACCACTTCGGGCGACTGATATTTATTTTATTGATATTTATTCAGACAACTTAGGTCATGAAACTTTCATAAAACAAATGTTGTGGTGTTTCTAACATAATATGAAAATATAACGAACCTAGATCATCCACAATGGATTTTATAAGGCATCAAACACGACGGTTTTTTTTTGCGCCACCCGAGTATTTATATCTGAAGATGTGGTAACGGTATATCGCAAATAAATTGCAAAGTGAAGCAAATTCGAAGAATTCATCGGAAAATGCTAATTCCAGAAATCTTGTCTCGGAAATTTTGACGAAAATCCCTATGACATATTAGCATGCTAAAATAATTAACCCCGCGTTAATTCGATGACTGCTGAGCATGGCAAAGATCCCTCATCGTTACTCATCGTGCATGTCATTAAGCCGGAATGAGTTAATGAGCCGCATGCGAGCGATCAAGAGCATTTGAGACCACACTCATAGAATTGATAACAAGTTTCGTTGCAAGTTGAGTCTGACCGCTTCAAGAGATAGCTATAGATATATATATATATAATTATATAATTATGTAATTAATAGAGTGGTGTCAGGATAGGGATTTATTTTGCCTGATCTTTTCCCGTCTCGATTTCGATGTTATCGTGAATGAATCCAGAATTTGCCGTCGACTCACAATATCTTTAAACTTTTCACTTTCATTTATTTCCATAATTTATCATTCATTAATTTAATATATTTCTTCATTACTACTTTCGAATATTTTACTTTAAAATATTTATATAGGATTTTTTTTATTACATGGAATAGACTGTGAGGCTTCGATCAAGGTCAACCGGTCGAGGAGCTCCCGTTCGACCGGCGCGATGACAGGGCTGGATGGGG